GATTGCCCTGGAGATGAAGTGCCAAAATGTAGTAATGTATTGGGTTTAACTTGGGATACTGAGAGAGATTTGTTAATGTTAAAACCTAATAATTACAGTATGCCCAATAAATTAACTAAGAGGGTCTTGCTTGCTGAAGTTTCCAAATGTTTTGATCCACTAGGTTTAGTGTTACCCCTTACTATAAGAGGGAAATTATTAATACAGGAAGCATGGAAACTTAAATGTGCTTGGGATGAAATTCTACCTGATGAATTCATTAACAGGTGGGATGAATTAATTGGTGATTATGAAAAAATTCCAATGTTGGAGTTCCCACGCCAGGTGGCCAATCCAAATGGGAAAAATGTACTCCACATTTTTTGTGATGCTTCAAAATTGGCATATGGAGCAGTTGCTTACCTTCAATGTAATAGTGTTATTTCTCTTGTTATGTCTAAGGCTAAAGTGTCTCCGATTAAATCACGTACCTTGCCTCAGTTGGAATTAACAGCCATTTATGTAGGTGTCAAATTAGCTAATTATATAAGAAATAAGTTGCAGGGGGTAAATATTAGCGACACTGTAATTTGGTCTGATAATGAGGTATCCTTACAATGGATTCGTAATGGAAACAGTAAAATTGTGTATGTACAAAACAGAGTCGCTGAAATTAATCAGATGCAAGAGAAGTATAATAGTTTGGGTCAGCATATGTTAACTTTAATCATTACCTGGTGAGGAGAATCCAGCTGATTTCTTGTCTCGAGGTTTACCTTATGCTAAATTTGTAAATGCTGTATCATGGTTTAAAGGACCGAGCTGGTTGGTAAATAAAGCTAATTGGCCTGTACAAAAGGCGTATATTGCTCCTGTTGAAATTACTGTGACTACCGCTCCAATAGTTTGTCCTTCCTTAGCCATTGATATAAATAGGTATTCTTCTTTACCCAAACTAATCAATGTAACTAAATTGGTGTTTAAATTTCTAAACAAGATGAATATTTCATATAAGTTTTCACATCCTCTTAAATATTGGATAAAGAGGGTACAGGAGGAAATCTATGGAAATGAGATTAAACTGATGATGGAAAGAAAAATTGTGAAAGGTTCCATAATAGAGAAATTGGGGCTGTATTTAGAGAACAATGTAATTAGGTGCAGAGGTAGGTTACAAAATGCTGAATTGGGTGATTATACTAAACACCCTATCTTACTGCCCAAAACTCATCATCTAACAAATTTAATTGTTCTAAATGTAATGCATGGTGGGGTACAAGATACCTTAAATTGTATTAGGGAAACTTTCTGGGTTCCACAAGGACGGCAAAGTGTAAAAAGGGTGATTAAATCTTGTGTAATATGTCGCCGTGTGGATGCCAGATCCTATATGTACCCAGGTCCTCCACCAATGCCAAAGGAACGTGTACAATTAGTGAAACCATTTGATGTAACAGGTGTAGACTATAGTGGTCCAATAATTTTAACAGGTACTTCAAATGGTGCTCCACTGAAAGTGTATGTTTGTTCACCTGTACTGCTACTAGGGCAGTTCATTTAGAAGTGGCACAGGGCTTGTCTGCAGAACAGTTTATACGGCTGTTTCGAAAATTTGCAGCTAGGAGATCCTGTCCGAGATTGATGATTTCGGATAATGCCACAAATTTTGTAGCAGGTGCTCAACATTTGATAGAGTTAAATAATAGTAACGATGTTCAATCTCTGTTAACCCAGCGAGGGTGTACCTGGAAATTTATTACTCCTAGAGCCCCTTGGCAGGGGGGGCTGTACGAAAGACTGATAGGCACAGTGAAGCGGTGTCTCCGTAAAGTACTACAACGGAAGAAAATTAATTTGGAAGAATTCCGTGCAGTGTTAGTGGAGGCGGAGAATCGGATAAATAATAGGCCTCTCTCGTACATGAGTGATACACCTGATGCAGATGTATTAACACCTTCTCACCTAATATGTGGAAGGAAATTGGAAGCTGCCCCTGTCTATAGAGATAATCCGGAAGAAAGTGATGAAGATTACAATGATGCAGCAGTGTTGTGTGATAAATTTAAAATGTTAAATAAAGTAATTGATCATTGGTCTAATGTGTGGCGTAAGGAATATCTTCTTACACTACGTGAACACTTTTATGGTGCGACAGAGGCAGTAAATCGACAGAACATTCAACCAGGTGACATTGTGTTAATTGACACTGAACAACATCGAACATTGTGGCCTCTGGGCAGAGTATTGACACTGTACCCAGATGCACAAGGTGTTGTCAGGAATGTCAAAGTGTTGTGTCGTGGCCAGGAAAGTTTACGCACAATTAATAAATTGACTCCCTTGGAATTAGGTGTTCAATCAAACGTAAATGAAAATCTGAGGGAAAGTGACACGAGTGATATGGAAGATAACGCTGACCAAGTGATGGCGGAAAATGAAATCGTAGTAAGACGTACTAGGAGAACAGCCACTCAAGCCAGAACCGGCTGGAATTGTCTCCTAAAGGAAGGAGTAATTTGAGTTGTTTAGCAACGAACTCCACCCGGCCGCAGTGTGGAAAATACTGTATATATTTTCCAGAAATACAGTAGTTATATGTAAATAGATGGCCATACTGTATTTAATAATATTTATGTCATAGAAAACGGAAAGCCTGCGTCTGCGCAGGCTTTCCGTGCTCTAGAGGTTAAAATTGGGTTGACACCTCTCAAATAGGAGGCGAAATTGGTGGATGTGCATTCCTGCATAACTTGAGATATGAGGCGACTGGACAAGACAGCTCCAGGAACCTCAGATAAGTCTGTTTATGTTTAATTCTGGCCAGTATTTTCATAAATTTAGACAGTGAGGTTTTCTGAGTATGATACACCTTAATCTCCAGTCAAATTGGTGAGTGATATTAAGATATTCTCTTTCTGTTATGTAATTGTGTATATCTATAATTATTTTTTAATTTTAATATACAGTCCACAAATTTATATATTTACCAGCATTCCTGGTGATGTATTTTTCATTTGATAATTAATAGGTCCAGAGCAACTTGTGGATATGACAGTGGTAGGTATCGAAGGGGGACATTTTTGCGACCTAGGTGTCCCAAATTCCTACTTGTCTATGTAACCCTGATAAATAATAATTATCTTTGTTATCATTTACTGTTATGTACATAATGAGTTACATTCAGATAAATGCAATTTTCCACAGGTACGAAATGTTAGAATGTGGAAGAGTAACTAGCGGGGTTGCAAGAGGAAAAGTTTTGTTTCTGGTTTATGTGAATAACATTCCAGGTAGGACGGATTCAGAAATATCCCTGATTGCTGACGTTGTAAAACTCACGAGAATAACAACAGATGACTAAGGAAAGGCTCGAAAGGAACCTGGAGAAATTGCAAAAGTGCTTGGATAAGCGGTTGCTCGAGTTCAATCCTAGTAATTGCAAGGTCATGAAAGATTGGGGAAGGAGCAAGAAGACTGGAAATGAGGTATATACTAGGGAGACAGAGGTTGCAGACTTCACTCCAAGAGGGATGAGCAGTGTCCACTATTTCGCCAGAGGCTCACATCAGGTGCATAACCTCTGCAGCGACTGCTTGCCTGGCAAAACTGAGTAGCCTTGAAGCATCTCAACAAAGTCATTCTGGGGCGCATTATACAACATGTTAGGCCCGTCTTGGAATATACAATTACCAGTATGGAATCCGCACCTAAAAAAGCATGTTAAGAAAATAGAGAAAGTGCAGAAGCATAAAAACAACGCTTGTTCCTATGTTAAGGGCAGGTCCAAGTCTCCTACCGGCTTAAGCCAATGCACCCAACCTAGTCAGGTCAGGTCACATTGACTTAAGGGAGGAACACGGCAACCGACCTGGTAGCTCAAGCTATCAGGTCCAACTCACACCCACCCACATCCACTCATGTATTTATCCAACCTATTTTTAAAGCTACACAACGTTCTGGCCTCTATAACTGTACTCGGGAGTTTGTTCCACTCATCCACAACTCTATTACCAAACCAGTACTTTCCTATATCCTTCCTGAATCTGAATTTTTCCAACTTAAAACCATTGCTGCGAGTCCTGTCTAGGCTAGATATTTTCAGCACACTATTTACATCCCCTTTATTTATTCCTGTCTTCCATTTATACACCTCAATCATATCCCCCCTAATTCTACGTCTTTCTAGAGAGTGCAGATTCAGGGCCCTCAGTCTATCCTCATAGTGAAGGTTTCTGATACATGGGATCAACTTTGTCATCCTCCTTTGTACATTTTCCAGAGAATTTATATCCATTCTGTAATACGGTGACCAAAACTGTGCAGCATAATCTAAATGAGGCCTAACCAATGATGTATAGAGTTGAAGAACAACCTGAGGACTCCTATTATTTATGCTTCTTGAATTTAACAACATTACAGGACAAAAAAAAAAAAATATGGAGGCATGTGAATCAGGCGCTGATCCACCAGGAGGCCTGGTCACAGACCGGGCCGCGGGGGCATTGACCCCCGAAACTCTCTCCAGGTAAACTCCAGGTAAACATAAAAAATACTCAGGAGAATTGATAAGGTACACAGGGACAGATTGTTTTTCAGAGGTGAGAAAGAACTTTGGGACATCCTGGAAATTAGACAGATAAGCCACAGGGATGTTAGGAAGTATTTGTTTAGTCTCAGAGTGGTTGGGAAGCGGAATGACCAGGTCGACAGGGTCCATGAGGCTAAGACTGAGTGAATCTGAAGAGTGGCAAGTTCAAGAGGCAGGGCCAGGATTTGAGAATCGGCCCCTGCAACTATAAATGAGTGGGAACAGGTTGGTATGTTTTTCAAATGTAATAAATAATAATAATAATAATACAGATATTTCACTTGATAAGCTTTATCAAGTTTTGATAAAACTCGTCAAAAGGAAACACCGTCTGTAGTACAGCAAATGCTTGAACTTGATTTGGCATTTTTGTCTTTCAGAACCAGAATAAACAGTTCAGTATAACACAGTATAAACATTTTGGTTGACTTACGCATAAGTAATGCCCCCAATGATCATGGTGACTTTGGGACCAAGGTAACTGAGACATGATGGAGACAGCCAGTTGAAAATGGCGAAAACTGCGTAAATAATTGCCAGTGATGTGTAACCAGAGCCTTCGAAGTTTGGGTTTTCTATTTTGATACTCTTGATCACCACTTGCTGCAAAGAGATATTATTACATAACTACTGTATTCTACATTAAAAATTAAAGTTTAATGTCATGCTATGTAATTTGTTTACTGTACATAACACTTTTAATCTCCATGCCATAATTATTAAATTAGTAAATTGGCACATCTACGTATCCCACTTTACTAATAATAATGTGTTATCCAGTAAAATCTAAACTTTAAATAAATTAAACAAATAATACAGTACAAGTACAAAAGCTATTTTCTTACAAAAGTGAAGAATAAAACATTTATAAAAGACTTTATGCAATCATTATTACAATAAATGAGAGCAACACACTAATGAGAAAAACACAAAACACACTACAAACTAAATTTATGTAAACATTAGTGTGATCACGAAGAGAATTAATCTGTAATAAATTAAAGCTTTTTTTACGATTATAACAATAATCTGTAATACATTTTGAGAACTCTGTTTAGTAGAACATGGACACTGAGGATTAGCGCAACCCAATCTAGCACATTATTATTATTATTATGGGGAACGCTAAATCCGTAGGGATTATGAAGCGCCTGTGGGGGGAGGGGATGGAAGGCATTTAGGCTCAATTCAAGGAACCGGAGTACAGATCCAGTTCCCTAGATCAAGAGCCCCTCACCAGCGTCAAGGAACCTCCCATGAGGGGCAAATCTAGCACAAAGAATGATATATTCTTGCAAATTTGAGCGCGTCCTAGTTATGCTCAGTCATATCGTTGCCAGACTCATCGCCGATTTGTTTTAAATACATGTTAGGTAAAAAAAAACACAAGTGAAATTAATGTGACATTTTATTGTGGCAACGTTTCGCTTTCCAAGAACTGTCAAGCCGGCTTGACAAAGCTCCTGGAGAGCGAAACGTTGCCACAATAAAATGTCGCATTAGTTACACGTGTGTCCTCTAACCTAACGTTTGTCGGCAATTCTACCAACATTATTACAATTTCTAATTACAGTAGTTAACGCGCTGGCCTGCAAGTTTTAGGACCCACTTGTTATGGATTCAAAACCCCCACCCGTTCGGTGATTTAATTACAGATTTATGCAATGAAGTTTAACTTACCTAACTTAAATATAATGGCATCTGCTATTTATCAGTTTACAGGAAGTGTTAAACAAATTACCATTCGTACCTCGTAAGATGATGATCTTATTTATGAGGACAACTTTGTTGTATACAAATATGACAACACTCGTACATTATTGCAAAGTAACCTGCGTGGAAAGCACCTGTGAGCAACTGTCCTCACCCCCTTGTTCAAATGACAGTGCTAATACTGCTAATGACACTTCTATTAGCAGTCATAAAGATAATAACAATGAGGGATGGAACAGACAACAATTACGACTGAACATATATATATATATATACTCCTTCATAACTTTCGTGTAAGTTACTATGCACCTATATAACCCTCCGCGATATTAGTGGTGAATGAACATATATACCCTTCCATGACATTAAAAATGAACATGTATACTCCCAGACATTGGAGAATGAACATATATACGACTATATAACATAAGTGATATGAATACCCATTCATGATATTATGTCTGAAAATGTATACTCCTCCATATGTACATATGTACTTCTTTATAGCATTATAAGTGATATGTATACTTCGCCATAACATTGTGACTGAACATGTATACTTCTTAATGGTAATATAAGTTACTAAATATGTATGGTATATGTACGCCTTAATGGTAACATAAGTGACTGAGCATGTATGGTATATATACTTCTTAATGGTAACATAAGTGACTGAGCATGTATGGTATATATACTTCTTAATGGTAACATAAGTGACTGAGCATGTATGGTATATATACTTCTTAATGGTAACATAAGTGACTGAGCATGTATGGTATATATACTTCTTAATGGTAACATAAGTGACTGAACATGTATGGTATATGTACTTCTCCGACATTATGTGACTGTTTTCTATTATCTGTTAATGGTCCTCATGCTTGTCTTTCCCACCGGCCCCCTATGTAGGAAAGGAAATGTTATAGGATTAACAGCTTGATAGATTTATTAACAGCATGACAAATTTACCTGTCATGCTACATGTTCATGAGAAGGAAAGAAAAAATCTGCAATACTGCCAGTGAAAAAAAAGAGATTCCATTTCACAGTCAAGGGAGAAGACGGTAGTACCTTCCTGGGTGGTGGTTGTCTGTCATCCTACTACTGAACATGTGTTTATATAAGTGACTGTCTCTAAGACATTGTATGTACGTGTATATATCTCCATGACATTATAATTGATTGAGCATGTACAGTATACTTGTCCACGGCATGTAACTGAACATGTATACTTCATAATATAAGCTACTGAATATCTATATTTCCCCAAGACATTATAAGTGAATATGTATACTCCTCCGTGATATATGTAACTGATCATGTATACTTTTCTATGACATTTTTCATTACGTTAGGTCTTTCTTAAGTTCCCTTCAAGAGAAGTACTTCGATGCTAGCGAAGGGTTCTTAATCCAAGGATTTTTGAGCTGCTCTTTTCTTCCTTGGATTGAACCTTACTACCTCCCATTCCCCAGGTGCTGTATAACCTCCATGTCCTATGGATTCTGTGCATTACCCATGAATATAACAATGACCTTTAAAAAGATATAAATTACATATTTATAGAATGCTTGCTTTTACGTATTAATTTATTTTTTGGAAATTCACACGGTGGTAGAAAAACGGATGCACATACAATGTTATTTCAATTTTCGGTATACGTACTGTATATCAGGGTATTACAATGCTGAATGTAATATGCAAAAAGTAAAGACTTCAGAATGCCTACATGATAGGATATGTGTCATTTTTCTATGGCATTTCGCCTCGTAAATATAATTAATATGGACAGTTTGGGATGATGAATAAAAAGTGCATGCTCATTTGAATAATTATATAAAATATATGTACTGTATTAACCGATAATCAATAACATAAAATTCTGTGCATCAAATCCCTATTACATAAACCATTATTCAGATTATAAAATTATAAAAATCAGAGAAGCACCTCAGGTGTTGTAAACAAAATTCTACAAAAAATGTTGGTGTTTTATGTACTGTGAAAAAAGTCTTATTGTTATTCACTAACATGGAAGATTTATGGAACTTGCCAACACCGCACAAATTCATCCATTTTTATTTGCATGAATATTACCTGACAAATTAACAGAATAATAAAAAGAGAATAAATAAATATAACAACACTATGATATGTGGTTATATTACTTTAGTGATCGCAGGTGATATCCTCGGTCTCCTGTCCCAGTATACTTCACAATACTAAAACATTAATAATACTATGTACTGTGTATTTACATGAAGAGCTACGCCTGTGTGGGTCATTTAGTGCAAGTTAGGTTAGGTTAGGTAAGGTTCGTCAGGAAACAGGACAAGTGTTTCCTGACGCGGGTCTTGGTCAGATGATGACCCGCCTTTGGAGCTTTTGGTTATCTGACCGAGGCCTTCCACTGGCTTACCGGTCCACCCCTTTAAAAATTATGGTCATGTATAACCACTGTTATTTATTTAGTGCAAGTAGTAGTGCAGGATTGATCCTCCGTCAGCTAATCGTGAAACAGACCTGCAGCTCGTATCATGATGAAACAAGCTTAACACAGGTATCTTCTGTTTCAAAAATGAAACACATTATTATGAACTTGGGTAGCCATGAACTGCGAGTGGGCCAAATTTAAAGAAAAATAAAAGCTAGCGAATTAAATTTAGATAAAATAAAAAGTGCCACTAATCTCTTCTTACTTCTGAAAAAATACACAAAGCAACGGTGGTTTTAAAAATGTACAAGTTCTTTATTAGTTCACTTATTGGTCTCAAATAAGAATATAACATTATGTTCAAAATACTTAAAAGCTACTCAAGAAAAAAGAAAAGGAAAAAAGTAAAAAACTGAGAAAACTAATGAAGTGATGAATACCTTATAATGATTTAGTGTTTAATGATCTTTGTCAATATATGTACCTTGATGCCGGTGAAGTGCTCTGGATTCATAGAATTGGACCTACCCTCTCTTTCCCTGGAAGGAATCTGATTCTCATTCCCTATGACAGTGTTGTATAAGTCCTACAGGTTTAGCGTTTCCCTCATGAATGCATAAAAATAATGTGCATTAATAATAATAATAGTAATAATAATATAACAAAATTTAGTTGAAACATCTAGATGTGCCATCTTGATAGGCACAGATTGATTAATGAATCTCAACACGGTTTTATAAAGGGGCGTTCCTGTCTTACGGTAATGAATATGATAGTGTGTATATGGGACTTCAGTAAGGCTTTGGATAGAGTTCCACACCAGAGGCTATTGAGGAAACTTAGGCACACGAAACAGGAGGAGAAATTTTTTCCTGGGTAGAGGCATGGCTGACAAATAGGCAGCAGAGAGTTTGCATAAATGGGGAGAAATCAGAATGGGGGCACGTCAGAAGCGGTGTTCCTCAGGGGTCAGTGTTGGGTCCGTTGTTGTTCACAATTTACATAAACGACATAGATGAGGGAATAAATAGCTACATAAGCAAATTTGCTGATGACACCAAAACAGACCGTCCAATTCATTCTAGTGAGGACACCAGAGCACTCCAGGATGATTTGAATAGACTGATGCAATGGTCGGAGAAGTGCAGATGCAGTTTAATATTGACAATGCAAAGTTCTAAATGTTGGACAGTTAAATAACCATGCTATATATAAACTAAATAATGTAGATCTTAATATACTGATTGCGAAAAGGATTTAGGAGTTCTGGTTAGCAGTAATCTAAAACCAAGACAACAGTGCATTAGTGTTTGCAATAAAGCTAACAGAATTCTTGGCTTCATATCTAGAAGTATAAATAACAGAAGTCCTCAGGTTGTCTTCAACTCTGTACATCCTTGGTTAGGCTCATTTAGACTATGCTGCTCAGTTCCGGTCACCGTATTACAGAATGGATATAAATGCTCTGGAAAACGTACAGAGGAGGATGACAAAGATTATCCCATGTATCAGAAATCTTCCCTATGAGGATAGACTGAGGGCCCTGAATCTACACTCTCTCGAAAGGCGTAGGATTAGGGGGGGATATGATCGAGGTGTATAAATGGAAAACAGGAATAAATAAAGGGGATGTAAATAGCGTGCTGAAAACTTCCAGCCAAGACAGGACTCGCAGCAATGGTTTCAAGTTGGAAAAATTCAGATTCAGGAAGGATATAGGAAAGCACTGGTTTGGTAATAGAGTCGTGGATGAGTGGAACAAACTCCCGAGTACTGTTATTCAGGCTAAAACGTTGTGTAGTTTTAAAAATAAGTTAGATAAATACATGAGTGGGTGTGGGCGGGTGTGAGTTGGGCCTGATTAGCTTGTGCTGCTGTGTCTGGTGCCGTGCTCCTTCCTTGAGTGGAGGTGACCAGACTGGGTGGGTCATTGGGCTAATCCGGGGGAGGGGACATGGACCTGCTCCGCATGGGTCAGTAGGCCTGTTGCAGTGTTCCTTCTTTCTTATGTTCTTATATATACATGCAGCACTTCACACAACTTAATGAAATTACTTAAAGCTAACAAAAATACATAATCCATTAAAATTATAAAGTTTGATAATTATAGTGACCAATATTTGGGAATATCACCATAAATTCCCAGCAAAACAAAAGAACAAAACATTCTTGTCAAATAAATGGCAATATTTATTATTTCGTCTTCACACAGGACCATTTACTGTTGAACAATATTGGTCAACCAGAGCCTTTCATAGTAATGCAGGAGCAACCATGGCAACTACAGCCTTTCATAGTAATGCAGGAGCAACCATGGCAACTACAGCCTTTCATAGTAATGCAGGAGTAGCCATGGTAACCAAAGCCTTTCATACTGACATTGAGAGTAGTCATGACAAACTCAGAACCTTTCATACTGACATGAGAGTAATGGCGCAACTCATCTCAATTGCATTTTCTTTATTTTAAGTTAGATAAAGCTAATTTAGGTTATGTTAGGTTAGGCTACATAAAAATACAAAACGTATATTAACCATAAATAAGCAAATTAGAAAAGAAACAGTGATACGTCTGGCAACGAGGCAGCGGCCAGGAATGTGAAACGTGGAATGGGTGACGTATCAGTCTTTGTGCGAGACGTTCAACATGCATACAAGTCTCTCACACCTAGTGTCACAAATAACAAAAAAAAGGCACAATACCGTGACTGGAACGATACACAAATAACCCGCACATAAAAGAGAGAAGCTTACGACGACGTTTCGGTCCGACTTGGACCATTGACAAAGTCACACCGTCACAAAGTCACAGTGTGACTTTGTCAATGGTCCAAGTCGGACCGAAACGTCGTCGTAAGCTTCTCTCTTTTATGTGCTGGTTATTTGTGTACCTAGTGTCACGCTCAACATGAATACAAGTCTCTCACACCTAGTGTCACGCTCAACATGAATACAAGAGTCTCTCACACCTAGTGTCACGCTCAACATGAATACAAGAGTCTCTCACACCTAGTGTCACGCTCAACATGAATACAAGAGTCTCTCACACCTAGTGTCACGCTCAACATGAATACAAGTCTCTCATACTGAAGCATGACAACCAAAGCTTTTCATATTGGCGCGAAGGTCACCCTGGCGTCCACGGTCTTTCATACTCATGAAACAACCATGATAACCACAGTCTTTAATGTTGACGGAGTAACCATGGCAACCACAGCCTTTCATAATTATATAGGAGTAACCATGACAAAAGAGCTTTACACTATTTACAAGTCACAAAATGTTGTGCAGAGTACATTTCCAAATGATCTTGCCTTAAACCACACTTAAATATTTACAATGACTTACAGTCAGGTGCCACAATGAAGTCACAATCTTAAGAACTCGTCCTTACCTGCATGTTACCCTGCGTCTGGAAGGAGGTAAAGACGAACATATAGGCCAGACCCAGAATTCCAACATTGATGGAGGCGGTATCTATTGGCACCTTCATTTTAGTGGCGAAGAGATGCTGCAGATAGAGACGATGGTGGTGATCTTGAGGGTTGTGGTGTCAGTACTCCTCTTGGTGGTGTAAGTGGTGTTTGCTATTGTTGGTGGTTGAAATAGAGTTGGTAGTGATGGAGGTAGCAGTAGATCAAGGGGGTATCCGGAGTATCCCACAATGTAGCCACTATCAAGGCTACGGAACACACACGAGAACCCCTTCGTAGGCTACGCCTTTTTTTTTTTTGGTCCTATTCGAAAACAAAACATAAAACCTAAGTAAATACTATAAAGAAAATCCATATATAATACGTGTATATATATATGTCTTGCTGAATAGGTAAAACTTACGGTTTTGGCTTAAACAGCAACGCTCTTCTTGTCGAATAAGGCAAGCGAAAATTTGTGTATGCAATAACTTCGCAAAAATCATTCTGAACCTAACGAAAAAAATATATTTCATTGTGTTTATTTATTATTAAATTACTGTAAACTTATGTAAAATATATTCTTTTGGATTAGGCTAAATTAAATTGCGCTTGCTATAAAAAGGTTAGGTAAGTTTTCTAAGGTTCTTTTGGTACAAAATTATTAATTTTTACATTAACATAAGTGAAAAAATATCTTTAAACGTATAAGAGAAAATTTTAGAAAGGACTTAATTTTAAATGAGTTCATGCTAATTGACGTTTTACCTATTCGGTACGATATATATATATATATATATATATATATATATATATATATATATATATATATATATATATATATATATATATATATATATATATATATCTCGGTACACAACATGATTCGAACCTGCACACGCAGTACTTTTGCCAAACAGCACTTTGATGTACAGTGTACAGGTTCGAATCCTGCTGTGGACTGAGAGATTATGTTTGTAAATTATTTCGCCCATTTGCGAATACAACTGCAGAAAGGTGATCTTAACGTTGCTAGACAAACCACGGGAGGATGGAAAGCTTCAGCTCAAGATCTTTCACACGACTCCGCGAGTCATCAGTAGCTATGCAATCTTGCAAGAGCAACAGGTACATCGAGGGGAAGTTTTCTTAAGAGGAAAGGTTGCATGTTGATGCTGTTCTGTTCCACATCATGTTGTTGTCACTCAGCCATTGGAAGACTTGGTTTATATCAGCTTGGAGGCTCAGTGTGAGTCGGAACAAGACAGCATCAAGACGCTACCTTTCCTCTGAGAAAACTTCCCCTCAATCTATCTGTTGTTGCTCTTGCAACATTGCACAGCTCCTAATGGTGCATGGAAACGTGTTTTTATTGCATTGTTAGGATCGCCTGTCTGCGATTGTCAATGAATAAACAGAAAACCGGCGGGGGCTCGAACTGTGGCCTTGGTACATACCAGGCCCAACACAGTAACCCTTCAGCCCCGGAGCTTACAATACGATACTTTTACTACTATGACTTGGTTGTATCAGTGGCACCAACTGTGACCCTAATCTCATTTCACAGCCCCAGATGCTTTCATGGTACATTTATAGATGTATGAATTTCTTTGTAACTGAAATCCCCTTTCATAATGATATTTACATGTTCAATTTTCAACGGCAGATAACAAGCAAAGTAGAAAGTAATGTTGCAACATTGATATCAAAATACCTAGACCAAAATACAGACCAGGTTGACAAGGCAAAACTGGCGCCATTAAGCGGATTAAGCTGCCTAGTGGCTGTCACCTGACATCCGCGGGTGACACGAGTGACATACGAGTGTGACACGTCACCGAGTAACACTAACTGCAGGTTTTGAGTGTGACATGTCTGGCACTATTACATCAGCGGGTGACACCAGCAGTGTGGGTTACAACACGAGCACAGACGAACACCCACCTATCTCAGCGGGTCACCGCCGGACTGAGACTCACACGGACCCCCCCTGATAAAACCTTATGTGTTTATCACACACACACACACACACACACACACACACAAAGGTACGATAAAGCTCATGGTTCAGGGAGAGTGACCTAGTAGCGACCATTGAAGAGGCGGGGCCAGGAGCTTGGACTCGACCCCTGCAACCTCAACTAGGTGAGTACAACTAGGTGAGTACACACACACACACACCACACACACAGCACACAAATGAAACCAAACTACAGGAAAGGGGACTACACAGAATGAGGAACTTCCTGAATGAGGTTCAGTGGGAACAGAGAACTGCAGGGAAGCCAGTTAATGAGATGGTGGAAATGTAGCAACAATGTGCAAGGAGGCTGAGGAGAGGTTTGTACTAAGGGTAACAGGAATATGAAAAGCCAGGATGAGCCAGGTTCTACCCAAAGATGCAAGGAGGCAAAAAACCAAGTGTGCTAGAGAATGGATGAGAATATAGAAGGCAAAGGACCCAGGAGAATAAGGAGGAGCAGTCGTAGACCCAGAAACGGATATGCCACGGGATAAGGGGAGGCCAACGTCATATGAAACGACATAGGCAGCAAAAGCCAAATTGATTGTGAAGAGTTCATTCGATCGAAGACCAGGCAGAACTACAAAGGGATCTGGACAGGCTGCAGACCTGGTCCACAACTGGCTCCTGGAGTTCAATCCCACCAAGTGCAAAGTCATGAGGATTGGGGAAGGGCAAAGAAGACCGCAGACGGAGTACAGTCTAGGGGGCCAGAGACTACAAACATCACTCAAGGAAAAAGATCTTGGGGTGAGTATAACACCAGGCACATCTCCTGAAGCGCACATCAACCAAATAACTGCCGCAGCATATGGGCGCCTGGCAAACCTCAGAACAGCATTCCGACATCTTAATAAGGAATCGTTCAGGACCCTGTACACCGTGTACGTTAGGCCCATATTGGAGTATGCGGCACCAGTTTGGAACCCACACCTAGCCAAGCATGTAAGTAAACTAGAGAAAGTGCAAAGGTTGCAACAAGACTAGTCCCAGAGTTAAGAGGTATGTCCTATGAGGAGAGGTTAAGGGAAATCAACCTGACGACACTGGAGGACAGGAGAGATAGGGGGACATGATAACGACTTACAAAATACTGAGAGGAATTGACAAGGTGGACAAAGACAGAATGCTCCAGAGACTGACACAGCAACACGGGACACAGTTGAAGCTGAAGACACAGATGAATAAAAGGGGATGTTAGGAAGTATTTCTTCAGCCACAGAGTAGTCAGGAAGTGGAATAGTTTGGGAAGCGATGTAGTGGAGGCAGGATCCATACATAGCTTTAAGCAGAGGTACGATAAAGCTCATGGTTCAGGAGAGTGACCTAGTAGCGACCAGTGAAAGGGCGGGGCAGGAGCTTGGACTCGACCCCTGCAACCTCAACTAGGTGAGTACAACTAGGTGAGTACACACACACACACACACACACACACACACACACAGACACACCTATTCTGATTTTGCTATGTTAATTTTCTTACGAGGTGCTCAACGTCAAATTCTTCCTTTCCCTTCCCAGAAAAAGGCGCCCTCCGGCAAGATGTCTATATAGGTTCTTGGCTGTTAAGCCCACATTTTCCGTCCTCTTAATCACATACAGCATTTGACTGCTGTAAAACAGTCCAAGGTGGGAACTGATGAAGGTTTCTTAAATAGTCAAAATCTCACAGTTTTTTTCTACACATCATCAGCACCAGGTACCCCGATGAAGGGCCCCCATGAAAATCATCAACAGGTGATGATAACAAGGCTTAGACTTCAGTGGTTGTTGACTTAGCAACTCCACCTATGCTCACCATGAATTGTGACTTTGTAACAGTAACCCTTATAGTTTCTTTGTAGGGTCGTCCACTGTTAGCTGTCGAATTTGGTGATGGTTAATACAGTGCTCAGACGCTCGTGAGGAACAGAGAAGCTGACATGTAAACAATCTTAAGGAAAATTTAACGCTTTAAATATATAATAAAAAATTCAAACATGCATTTATCATGTAGGATGCGGAAAAGCATCACAGCACTTAAATTGTTTGTACACTCCTGAAACCTATTAGAGAGATGCAATGTGTGTGTGTGTGTGAGAGAAGAGAAAGAAGAGAAGAGAAGAGAAGAGAGAAGAGAAGAGAGAGAGAGAGAGAGAGAGAGAGAGAGAGAGAGAGAGAGAGAGAGAGAGAGAGAGAGAGATACACCAAGCAAGGCTAAGATAACAGGTTTGGGGGGTGGCTACATACAATCAAATCCTGATAACTTAATATTATTACATAATCAGTTATCACAAAACGGATATGTTAACCCACTTACCACCTGCATGGCACGTAGTAAACAAGGCGGAAACACAGATCATTCCTTAGCACTAAATAATGCTACATATAAATTTACATATAGAACAATAGAAGAGTAGAACAGAAATTAGAGAACGAGGGATAGCAAAACACAATGTACGAACAAATCCCCTTGACATCAAGGCAAATATTTTATCACCACGTAATCTCTTGCCGCTCTAGCGAGGTTGTTTATTATCGTCACACAAAGTGTAATTTTTCCCCTAGTATCACAGCGGCATGAAGGGCGAATTAATATCACCACTATGTATTAGAAAGAAACGAGATGAAATGGAGGATGGGATGCAGTTAGTGGTTAGTCAGAGTGGGGAACGTACGAGACTGGAAAGAGGTATCCAAGACCGGGGGTGCACGAGGAGGAGCTGGCGGTGTACGGACGATATATGTCTCGATTCAGAGCAAATGAAGTTCCAATATAACAATATCTTTATTTCTACAAGTATATGTACAAGGTATACAGGTCTAATTGACATGAATGACATACTACTACATAGAAAGCCCCTTGTTATGCAGAGCAGTTTGGGCAAATTAGGTCAATTCTGTCACAGGATGTGACCCACACAGTCGACTAGCACCCAGGTACTCGTTAGGACTGATGGGTGAACATAGACAACTGGTGTAAGAAAACACGCCCAATGTTTCTGCTCTCACCGGGAATCGAACCCGGACCCTCATCATGTGAGGCGAGAGCTTTTGCCACCAGGCCACGCTTGTTCTGTATACTTTCTTCATGGTCATAGAGTTCACACTGCTCAAGGAGCATGCAGAGTACAAGGTTATCACTAGTGATAACTGAAAGCCATGAATACCTTGGAAACGAGGCCCTAATAAAAGTAGTTTTCTTTACTACCTTACTGACAACACCTCGGAAACAAAGAGCTTAGTTTAGTGCTGCAAACTTAAAGAAAGAGTAAATATTTGGATCGAGAAATCGTTAAGAATAGAAACAAAAATACTAATATTGAAATATGTGGCTGCAGTATGGTATCTGCTTATTAAAACAGAAAGAAGAAATAAAAAAAAATACATATATTCCAGTTCTAAGAGCTATGGATTACGAAACAACTATCAGCACTAGATTATTATTATTATAATAAAAAAGAAGCGCTAAGCCACAAGGGCTATACAGCATCAGCACTAGAAATGTCCTCTGAAGACGAGAGGAAGACATAGTAATGGTTTTATAACCTTAAAACTTTTTGTTAATTAAACATTCTTAACCCGGATCTGACAATTTTATTGTTTATCTTAATTATATATTTATTTATTTATTTGAACATGATACAGTGAAGTACAAAAGAATACAGTTAAATGCAGCATGCCAAAGCCACTTGAATGCATAGCATTACGGGCATATACTGGTTCATTTCACTGCATATCAGCTGTACAACTGCTATATCAAAATGTGCACAAGTAAATATGACCCTCACCCCTCGCATACCCTCCCATCAAAAAAACTTGATAGCTTTAGAGTTTATCCAAGTCGTCCTTGATCTATATATAAGCGTACAGTAAGAACGGGGCCCCCGAAAATATGGCCGCTTACATTTGGACCTGTGAGGCCGGTCCTCTGGAACCGGCTTGGGCTAGCAACGGTAAGATTAGCTCCAGCGGATTCCGGACGCGAGCTTATTCAAGTTCAATCCCGACATGGGTGCTTTGATTAAGGAGCCCTCACCACTCCTTTCCTAACATCACATTTCCCATTAAGGGATGTATAATTACATCATCTGCGTCTTATAAGATGGCTTACCCTACTTCCCCTTCCAATACATGAGTCTCATTCTGATTCCCTTCCTCCACCTTAAATACGTTTGTAATCCCCCATATCAACTCACAAGTTTTATTCGTATCTTCACCAAATCATTTATTTCATCCCCTTTCCCCATTATAAGAACATGAGAACTTAAGAATAACGAGAACTACAAAATACTAAGAGTTGACAGGGAAAATACTGATAAACTTGGAAATGAAAGGACTTGGGATAAAGGGCCACAGATAAGCCATATAGATGTCAGTAAGTAATGCTTTAGTTTCAGTGGTAGAAAAAATTAAATGGGTTGGATGAAGAATCGAAAAAGGAAAATTTTATACAGTCAGAAACAAAAAGTATAAATCTTAAGAGGCTATAATTCAGTAACGCAGGTCAACACAGCATAAGAGGCTGGGTCAGGAGCCGAGATTCTGTTCCCATCAACACAAATCGGTGTGTATAAATTGGCGTGTGCAGAATGGATAGACTACATCTTCTTGGACTTGAAGAAATTTTTCGACACAAAGCGGTTGCTGGTCCACTGAGCAGACAAGCACCAGGGAAAGTGCTCAACTTGATACAGGAGGATAGAATGATGTGTGATGGTACTGGTAAGAGAAGAGTACCAGAGTGGGCAAGGGTGACGAGTGAGTCCCTTGGACCTTTTGCTGTTCCTGATATACACAAAAGAAATGCTACAAGAAGCTGAAATATATGTATTACTGTTAAGCAATGATGTAAAACTAGTTATAAGATCAACTGTAGAGGG